ATGCTAGTCTGTGCTGAATTTTATTTGGTTAATTTTAGATCTTTAATTACATACACTAATGGTTTGTTTTTTTTTTAACTCAGTACAAAAGATTTTGAATTCTCCCCTACTCCTTAAGACGCATAATGCCCTCAGTACCTTACTTTATTACTCACCACGACTCGCCTTTTTGTGCGCTTATAGGTGATATTGATGAGTTAATTAGGCACATTGTAAGACAAGCAAATATTTATTTATTTATATCAACTGGCAAGCGTTATGATAGTTATCATTAGCCCTTTAGTTGACTTCGGGCTTCACAGAGGGGAAGGAAATTGCAACCTTCAATTAATAAGTCATCTGTTACAGTCCACATTATTACCAACATATGAAGCACTACCCAAAGCCCCCCAAAATACTGTGTAAGTGTCAGTCTTTGAATAAACCTTCAAACAGCCATACTATATGAGAACCCTGATTGGTGGATCACCCTGAAATATTCTTTTGCCTGTCTTCATTATAGTGAATTTTTCTTTGAGCTGCATTGGAACGTTTTACTGGAAGCGCAAAAGTACTCCAGAATTAGTAAAGAAAATACTGTCTTCGATCAACATTCGGACATTAAATAAAATAGTTCAGGAAGTGAGAACAATAAATGTAGTAATTATATTTACTAGTAGCATACAAATTTCCCGCAACATCAGTTACCATATTTAACGAATGTCCTACTCATCCATCGAATTTTAAAGACCAAAAATACAGCTAATGTTGCTAATGTTGAGAACATACCTCTTATGTTCTGTATTGTTTCCCACGTCATTTTAAAATAATTTGAAATGACAACGTCTCACTTCAATGCACCTGATTGATGTAATTTATGGGAAGATGCCATTTACATTTTTTTAATTTAAACAACTCAAGTTCCATTACACGAGTGATTTTTTTTCAACAGAAAAATATACAAAATGATTTATTTGTTGTTTCAAGGAATCAACAACTTCAATGATGAACAATTATACAGGACTGTTAGCAACTATCTCAGACCAGAGAACGGAACCTATGTAAATGGTAGGATGAATTTTATTAATTTGTTATAAATATTTGTTTTAATTAATCTACCCAATGACAAAAATATGTTACTGATTTTAATTGCTTGGCACGCTTAAGGTAGTCAAACAAACAGTATGGCATTAAAAAGGTTCATTGCGCATGCATCTTGGATTTATTTTACCCAGTAACTCTCTCAATCATGTTTCAAAATTCCAAAGTTTATATTTTCGAATTTCTCGCAGGATGTCTAATTGATTTCTTGTCCAAAATATTAACGTCGTTGACCAATTAATTAAATTTAACGTTTATGGTCAGTCAGTCAGTCTAGATAAACTTACTTCCCTTGTGTTACTTAAGGGCACCTTATGCAATGGGGCCGCAAGAATACAAGTCAATTGTACTTTTATGATAAACCTCAAAATCGAATAAAGTAAAAAAGAGTCTGGGCTAGATCTAGGAGAAGATGAAGATTCGAATGACACAGCGTGTAATATAGATTCAGGTTTAATTCAGGGAGGTAAGGGCAGGAATTAATTAAGGGATCGCACATGGGAAAACTTACTGTGTCATAGATAGAGGATGCAGCTGCCCAACAATATACCATATTCCTCACCTCTCTGAATGCTGATAAACTCAGAGTCGGTGGAGCACATCTCCAGGTCGTCAATGTAGGCTTGAGTAATTGAGATGACTAAAATTCATTATCTACTGAATTAGTACAACAAAATCGAATTTAGCGCGTCATTATTTTTTCCATCTCGTAGGTAAAGTTTATACTCCCGAGCTGCTCAGAAAAAAACAGAACGACCAAATAATGAAATTCGGCAAACAGTACCAAGAAATTCGAAGCGATACAATGAAAGCACTAAGCAAAGTCCGGGCCGATTCGGCAGAATATACACCTGAAAGGGTTGATAGAGAAGGTGAGCGCAATGAAGAATAAATATCATGAAAGATTAAATATATATGTGCCTTGAAATTTTCGTCTTTTAGTTGACAAAATTACGCAGCAGTTTAGACAGCAGACAAAAGAAGCAATTCGGAAGTTGCTTCAGATGCTAAGCATTACAGAGGAAAGTAAGTGCTATTGTGACATATCTAAATGGAAAAAGCTCAATTCGTCAATCAAGATAGCAGAGTATTGAAATAGTTGAGAGGCTACCTCCATCGAATGCCCGAAGGCTATTGGGGCAAATGCGTTGAGCCAGTATTCTAAACAAAATGCTTAATTCAGGAATTTTTAAGTTGCTTTTGGCACATTCCTAAGGATTAGAGCAAAACGCTGCTGAATTGAACATTTCTTGAATGTGCTGGATATTGAGGTCGATCGCATGAATAAAAATGTCCCACTGAATATATCTCTAATTACCGATGATACACCTCTAGGACTTGATAAACTTGTGAGAAATTTTTGTAATAAAAGATGAATGAGCCAAACTTTGGATTAGAATTCAACTTGTAAAAAAATTACGTGTCAAATGAAGACAAATACATCGTGAGTAATACAATTTAATTAAAGATTGTATTCACCACGTAAATTTCACTGTCAATCGTGTTCAAATTTTCACAAAGTAAATATTTAAGACGTCTTAATAGCTCCTGTTAATGACAGTTACCTGAATATAGTAGTCCATAGTCTTAACAATAAGTAAAATTTGAGTAAGTTCTTTGCTTGATAAACAGAACAATAAAGAATAGCAGTGAAATCGCATATTGTTTCATATTTGTGCTTTGCGAATCTCCGAACCTATTAGATTTGGCAATACGCTCTTGCTCAATAGAGTATGTTCAAAGAGCAATTCCTGGACCCTGCTTAGAAACTTTAACTAGATTTCCAAAATTGAATGTCGCAATATGTCCCATTATTATGGGTAGAAATAACTTCAGTTTTTACGTAGAATTTGACATTGGAAGAACCTGAAAGCATTAAATAAGATAAATTACAGTAGTTAATTAGATAGTGAAAAAACACAATCGCCATTATATTCTTCGTTATTTTGCAATTGTGAAGAGGTGTGGTGTACAAAATGACAGAATAGTTGCCTTTGAAAGTTTAAATGGCCTAAATACTCCATTTCCTATAGGGTAGACGGAAACGAGTTTGCATTGTTGTTGCTTTATTTCACCCACAAGTTCCTTGTGTATTCCTCTTTCAATTCACATATTTCGGGGTATTTCGGTACACCCTCCATATTTAAGATCTTCATTTTACCTTGCAAATTCTTCCTGCTAGTTAGCTAAAGGGTTTCTATGCTGCAAGTCCTAGATTAGGCCCAAATATAAAATGAGGAACCAACGACTTGATGTTGCAGTGATTGAAGCTATGGAGATGTTCATTTCCGTCTGTTCTAGAAGTTTGCTACTGTCTGTCAGAGTAATATTATCGGAGATGAGTAGACTTAAGATAGGGCGAGCAAAGTTCGATGGAGTTGTAAGATCATAGAAGGGGTTTGGAGGGTTTTGTCTTATTCAGTTTATGGGGTGAAACCAAACTAAAATTACTGAGAACTAACAACTTAAAAGACAGCCACTTGAATGACGAACTGGTTTGTGAACGTTTAATTAATAAAAGGTCAAATTCAAAGTAACAAACAGGGTGCATTCTCTAAAAGTGAATGTGAATTTGTTCAGATTTCAAAACTTCGGAAGAGTTTATCATGTTTTAATTTGTGATTGCATATTTAACGTCTTAAAATTTCCCATTTTAAGAATACAGAATGTCATTGGACAGTCCGGTACACTGCAACACCAGTGTTCGAGTTTTGGAGATAACACAGCGTCAGGTTGAAAGTCTTGTGGGACACAAAATCAGTGTATGCCTCTATTCATTGACTTTGTGAGCTTCCGCTCAAAATTTTTAAAAATTTACGTATTATATTAGATTCCTGATGAGTATATTAGATCGGAACCCGATGAGGACTTAGATTCCTTCGTGGCGAGTGTTGTAGGTGGACCTGAGGAATTTTTTGCAGACGTGCTACTAGAAGATGTAAGTAGTCTTAATTATAAAAATTCTTTTTTAGCACAAGTAGTGATAACTACTCGCTTTCTTTCTTTTGTCACAAGCTCAAACATGCTGTACAAACGTCACAATCAAATGGAACGCTGCGTCAAGGTTTTTCAAACAGATGAATTCCCACGTACACTACTTTGTTCTCTAATCCCATAAACATATTACCAGAATGCCAAATACAGTAGCTTTACCGAGATTATACAAATCTAGAGCAGCAATATTTTTGAAAAACACTGTCCGATAATAGCATGAGCTGGTTACTTTTTAAGTGACTGATTAGGACAAAACTACCTTTGACATAACCTCCTTGCACTTTAATTTTGTATTTTACCAGGCCAACTAATATCAAGCTTTAGAAAGAAGGCTATAAAGTTCAGTGAAGGTCCCTGAATACAAAATCGACAAGAAAAGTAAAATATCAATTCAAGGGCAATTGAGTTGATGAAACATTTTGTATTTCAGAATGGATGAAATTTACGAGCGAACTGTGATCAGGATTTCAAATTGCTACAACAAGTGCTGATTTAAATTTAGTTGAATTCATATGAATGAGCAGCAAAGCCCCAGCTATCACTATCCAACTTCACGCCCTGCAAAGGTGAGATTGACGCAATGACCCAGTATCTCAATGGTAGTGTAGGTTTTTTTCAAGCAGATGACTTTTAAATTCAGACTTCCACTCAGGAAATTCGCTATCTAATGGCCTTATAAATATTCCAGGTTTTGCCGACACCTAAGAAAAAGTCACCAATCGTAACTCGATCACTATCATGACCGCCAATTTCATGGCCGAAATTAACAAAATTCCTTATTCCTCATTAGTCAAATGAACTAACTTAATTTCAAAGTCCAGTTAACTACTGCTTTACGATTATTTGAGTATGAACTTTCCTGTTATTTGTCTATATCATTCTGCTCTGTGAGTGCACGCACGCATTCATCCTGACCTAGACAAAATAAGATTTGTTTTATTAACCGAACTATTGCATTACAATTAGCTTTTCAATTGAATGATTTTGACAAAAAGAGATTTTCATTTTAACTGAAGGAACTTATTAAACGAAGTTCTAACTCCCAGTAACTTAGAGGATCAGATAGACATTTCACTTATGACTAACCGTCATTTTGAAGGAATTCCACACCCACTGGCACTCAAAACTAGGCTTCGATAACTCCTCGGAATTCACCCCCTTTTCAATTCAGTTGGCGTACTTCTCCTCTGATCATGATTAAATCAACTGATCACATTTGATCAGACTAACTTAACGGTAACTGCAAGTGTGGATTGCTTTAGCTAATAAATTCCCGCATACACGAAGTGGACCAAGGAGGAACGGATTTGCAGAGAATATAAATATCTCATCTACTATTCACTTGTAATCCACATTAATTTTTACAAGCACACTCTACATTAACAACAAGTGAAGTAAGAAAACCGAAGTGCCCTATTACCGTTGTTAAACAGGCGAAAGACTACGACCAAGATCAACTACTTAAACCAATTCCAGAAAAGATAAGAACGCTACCATTATATATGCTATTTATTAAACAATGAAACAAATATGTACAAGATAAATTTGCTAAGGTACTATGGAAGTAAATTCAGAGTCTCGTGTAGGGATGGGAGCGCTGGTGGTAATTACTGCCACGACCGTGGCGACCTTTGCGATCTCTGTCATTCAGCTGCTGACTTTTCGGTCCTCTGCCAAGTAAAGCAGTCACAAGGGGATGAGGCTTTTGAGCATCTTTATTGGTTCTGAAGATTGCTGGTTGAATATCCATTTTTGATGTAGCTTCGAGAGCAGCTTCAATTCGACTCACCGCTTGTCTGTTCTGTGCACGACTCATTTCTATAAAAAAGACAGATTGAAAAAAGAAAGCGAGTCTACTCGGTTAATTTGACAGACTTTTAAGACTTCTAACAGTTAACACGCTAACAGCCTTTCGAACCCATTAATTAGCTTTTCGGCCTTTTATCGTCAGCCCCATTGAGCAATAATTGTAAAAAATGGGTATTTTCAGTGTAAAGTTTAAGTGGTTAATGTGGCTACATGAGAAGTCAGAATTCAAAGGTGTAATGCCTAATGGCCCACAGTAGGCGAGAAAACTTGTCAATCACAACGGCCAAGAGCAATGGCAGAGTTTGAGACTCTCAATGGAGAAGCTTTCATGATACAAGGTCTCGATCAAAAATGGGTACTGGAAATGCTTCTCGAAATTACAATAGTTGAACAGTTATTTAATTACCACTATTTTGTCCAGCAGGAATTTATGGGATTAGTAGTAGGGATTTTTAAAGGTGAAACATTTTGCATTCCTACCCTCACTCAAGCCAATATAATCTATTCTAACATACGATTGACTGCACAAAAGAGGCATTACAATAGATATCTTAGCTTAGAATTTACCAATGAAGGATGTTTAAAATATGTTGAGCATGTGTCCTTCCCATCTTCCCGAATTACAGTACAGCATTAAAAAAGAAAGAGATAGAATAGAAAATTTGTGAAAAACTGGAAAAAAGTAATGGACAATTTAAAGAAAAAATACCTCACTGCCATACCAATCATGTTATAAATCAGTATTCCTTTTTCCATGAATTAGGGTGGGAGAATTTATAATGATAGATTTTTACCTTAGTGAACTTACTTGGTGGCGAAGGCAATTGAGAAGCGCACGGTTTAGCCGAGATTAAACCAAGTTGGCCATAGAGATCAGGAACAACAGTTGATGACGATGATGACTTGAGATCTTCCTTGAACTGTGATGAGGTATTCATTCGTGATCAACACGAAACGGAAGGAAAGGAATAAGGACAATAAGAGATAATTAGGAAACAAAAAAAGTAATGGCTACAAGATTTAGAAGTGACCATACTGATTATCATACATTGTCAAACTCGGTTTTTTCATTATTCAAGTTCAAATTCAGAAAATAATAGAACGTTAATACACTGAGAGGATAGAGGTAAAAAAGGAACTTAGAGTAAATGGGGATTTAGTAGAATTTCGAATGATTCTACTTGACCAAGCTTACTCTTAATAGTGTCACATTCTTTTGAACATTAGAAAAGTTAAGGTAACTACGTAGCTCAAAATAAACGTTTACGTAAGAAAACAAATAATTTTGGAATGTGAAAATATCTATACACACAAACTTTAGGTTCAGGACGCTTGACATCTAAAGACCTATTTCATTCAACAGCGAACAAAGGCAAAATTACAAGTCAAAAAACTGAAAGAAATGAGAAAGAATCGAAAATTTCTCAAATTTTAGTGAACTCTATATTTCTTCGAAAAAATATGATTTCACATATTTTACCAACAAGTAAAACAAAAAGGAGGCAATGATTAACCCATAACTATTATAACACTGATTAAGTCAGTGTATATTTGATCAAATTGATAAGAGAATCAAAAGCTCATAACAGAACAAGTGTAATCATAGCATAAAGTGGTAGAGAAAATACATACCCACGAGCATCTTTAGATGTAGATGATAAATTTGTGGTAATTAAGATGGCAGAAGAGGGGGCTACATTAGTAACAAGTCGTTCAGCTAATTCCGCTTCCCGTCGTTTCAGTTCTTCTTCGATAAGCATACGTTTTGCTTCTTCACGCTCTAATCTCAACTGATCCAAAATTTCTCTGGTGGGTCGAGCTCGTTGAGCTGATAAAATCGAACCAGCAAATTCTCGACGATTCAAACTACAAAGTGAAAGAACAAAACGATGACACTGATAAAATGACTAAAAAGGTAAGAAAAAGAGAACAATGGGGGTAATAATTTTACCTCTTCATTGCATTTAGAGCAGACTGATCTGAGTCATAGGTCACAAAGCAGTATCCTAATGTTGAGCCCTGCAAAGGACCACTACAGTGGTTGACAGGGAAATTAAAATCCAAAATTTTGCCAAAAGGTCGGACTAGTTGCAAAATGGCGTACTCCGTTGACTTTGGAGGAAGATTAGATATCCAAATTCGCCGCGGATCAATAGGCTTATAGAAATCTTCTTTCATTTACGAAACAATCAGAAATAGGATTCAATGCAAATAAATTCCGAGACAGAAAAAAACTGGTACAGATTCAAGTTTTTTGTACAGGGTTAGATATTTGCGCTTATAAGCAGTTATTTAAAAGAAATGGCGCATATTTGCCTTTTAGCCTAAAATAAACCAGATTTTTGTTTAAAAATTGTTGTTTATATTTAAACCAAAGAACATTTGATAGTTAAATTGTTCAATTTCTTCAAGTTAGGATTTTGTTATATTTTTGCGTATACCGTAACTTAAACATTAAGAATATGAATACTCACATTTTAACTTTGGGGTAATTACAAAGAGCATTTTTATTTGGAATCATTTGGAATTGCTTATACTTTCATTTTAGATATCATTTGAATTTTATCAGTCTGCATAAGTTTAAAATTTTTCATTCATTTTGTCTAGATTTTCGCATTTCTCCTAATCATAAATTATAAGTGTTTTACGTCAAAAAATTCTATTTATATCTTTATTTATTTTTTAAACTTCAATCACTTTTATGGAATGTAGTAGTTATTCAAAGACAGATAGAGCGGGAATTGGACAGAAACATTTAAAAAGCCAACTAATTGTTTAATCTTCATCGTCTAATTGGGTATTCACAATTTTATGTCATGGGGATCTCGATCTCCTTCATCGGTACCTTCTTTAATATTTGCTGAAGTACTATTATATTGAACCGAATAATTACCTACTTTTATCAACAAGAAAAGCAAATAGAGTCATACAGTACGGTTTCGAACAGTGATCACATGGACCTAGTAAAATTTTATTCAAGCTATATTTTTTATTTACCGGAGTATAATGGTATAAGATTGAGGTTAGTATTATCCTTCAATCGAAAAACTGCAAAATAACACATCATCTGTATTGATTTACCTTTTACTTTGTAATGGACGTATGTCATAAAGAATGTTCTTCCAATGGTCAAACGTTTAATTATGTTCTTCCATTGGCTTTCTATAATCAGTTCTGTAAAAACAGCAATAGTTACCTTGATGTGCAGTTTGCATGTGCAGTGAACAGCAGACAGAATCTCGGAAATATGCGTTGCATATGGCACAAACCCTATCCTCAAACAAGTTGTGATCACAAGCGTCTAAAATGATGTACATTAAAAAGTATTTTAAAGAAAAGTACGAGTTATTTTTGAGTATACTATTCACCAAATTTGTAATTAATACAAAATAAATTTTAACTCACTAAAGAAAATACTTCTATGGTGCTCATATTCCACGGCGCTTTCAAATACAGTAGAACATGTGTTGCACACCGTTTTCATGTTGATAAATTAAAGAGAAATGGTGAGCTAAGGGAATTAGTGTTCGGTAGTTATGAAATTATAAGTCAGTTGAATTTTGAAGACCACTCAATATACGGCCATAAACTCCACAAGTCAGCATTTCGTTAAATTTAACATAAAGCTGTAAGCTTAAAGTAAGTACACAGCACACAAGGATGTAGTAGACACTGGCTCTTTTCACTTAGACATGAGAGTAAGAAATTAGATGAAATTGGCTTCAGTTAAGCTTCATAACCATTAGGTTAAATTAATTTCCCTTATATACTTGAGTGTCTTACAATAGCGACATCCCCTTCTCATTAAATTAATAAATGATATGACTGCATTTCACTTTCTAACAATCCACTACAACATACTTCGTTGCAGTGCTATCTGTGGGACACTTCATCACGGGCGCGCACACTAGGCTTATGGTGCGGCCGTGCAACCTCGCACACGGATTGGTTGCGGAAATGCACAGCCAATGACCAATAGAAATCCTGCTACAGAACACTACTCAGAGATATTTAGCTATTTATGTTCACTCGAATTATGCTAGGTTTATCCGATAGCTAAACGTTTTGCCAAAATCACAATTCGCTATCAATGTACGTACTGAATAAACGTGCTCCGTGCTACACGTCTGTTCCCTTTATAGCTGGGCTATAGCTTAGCTGGTTCTGGGAGTCTAGCTAGATGTTGGAGAATCTGCCATAGAGATTTCTGAGTCGGTCAGGCTTTACTAGCGTAGCAATCCGCTACAATCATTTGGTCAAGGTGGCTTGATAGATCACAATTTGGTAGATCTCTACTTGTATTGTGACTACGGATTCATCTCACCTTAACTTTCTTAATGTCAGTAAGTTGGAGACAATCTTTTTTGTTATTCAGAAAGTAAGTGTGTTCCATTTAAACGTTGCTTTCTGTCGATTGACAAAAGTCTCTTACTTCTTAAAGATAGCGTGTAGATTTGATAAAATTGAGTTGCATGCACTAAAGTTGAATAATCACTGTATTTTT